TTATATTTCATTTTTCCAATATAGTGTTGTTGCTTCTTGTCCAAACAAAACATTGCCCAACTACAAAGAAACATGATAATGTTATTTATATGTATTCAACACAATTACGTATATATATATATATATATAAACAGAGATACATCGTAGTACACATCATTTTAATCACAACACAGAATATTGAACAAACCAAGACAAAATGTCTTACAATGTGTTCATCGCTTCACACATCATCGATTGAACTGATCTATCGTAGTTGCATTAAGCTGTATACAGCAGAATGTCTTCTTTACAAATTACTCAACAAAACATTAAGGGAAAATGATAAGAACAAAGTAAATACACTCGGATGTTGCTATTTTTTACTTTTTACTTTTTTTTTTCTCATCGCTATGTAGTCGCTTATGGGAAAAAAATTCTTTAGATGATGAGAAGGCAAAAGAACCGCGTGTGTCGTTTGAGTGAGATTGAATTATGTAGCCATAACATTTTTTAACTATAAAGTGAGGCAGCAACTTTTTTTCTATACATGCCGAACACATACTTGTTGAGTGAGCGATCATATGCAGAAAATATTTAAAGAAAATGCAAATTGCATTACACTGCTTTACTACAGTGACAAAAAGATTTAGTGAGTGATACATTGGATACTGATTTAGATATTGTCTCTAATGGTCAAACAGATGGTACTTACCTGTGAATTTTCCAAAATGTGTCACTATGAATTTTTTAAGAAAACCATCTCCAGAACCTGTTAAATCGACACTAACCCAAAGAGCCTTTTGATAGTGGCGCCTCGAATTGTGCCCATTGCAAGCCATATGGGTCGTTTTGTAAGCCTACCTAATTTTTCTAGTTAAGCGAAGAGGTCAAATATTTTATCTCATTCGATTCATCATGCCACCAGTCACAAAAGTACGCATCGCTTTCTTTTCGTTCTATGCTAAAAATATTCATTTTTTCTAAATCAGAGGCGAAAAAGTCAAAATTCTGCCCGTAGTTTTCAGTTTTCTCGATCAGAACTCAACTTTTGAGCAATAAAAATATCGTATTCGAAATCACAATCAAAAACTGAGTCGAATGATGTGTATTTCAAAACGTTTAGTTGAGTTTTAGTTTTAGGTGGAAATCTCTGTATAATTTTTCAATGTGAAAAGTCGAAAAAAATTAAAGTAGTCGGATAGAGATACACATCAGTCGACTCAGTTTGCCACAACAATAGCCACAATCAATCATCATATCAACTGTGTACATGCTATTGTGAACAAAATGGACATGTTTGTTCGGATTATTCATCATCTGAAAAATTCTAGCAGAAGTATGTTTAGTACATTTTTTCTGTCAATTCTAGTCTCTCATGCGTTCTCTTTTAAATTCTTGTTCCGTCATATGGGAACAATGTTCGATTTTAGTAAAAACTAAGTTAGCAAAAAAATTATTTGATTTCTGAGGAGTAATTGAGATTTAACCATAGTGTGGTTATTTCAGTATAACTAGGAATTAGCCAGGCAAAGTACAGAGGTCACAAATACGAGTATCCAAATAACAGAAAAGAATCACTGGTTTCGTTACAGAAGAAGAGCTTGGTTTTACCGCAACCAGAGAACGGTCTCATGTTTACGGTTACGAAAATCCTTTTCAGTATTTTCAAATATTTCGAGAAGAAAAGCATATTCTTCGAAAAAAAAATTTAGAAGCTGAAATGGGTCTGGCCTATCTGTGGTTAAATTTTGAAGCCGATCGGGCATTGGATTCTGTCACCTTCTAGCTGTCAGGAAGGATATTATTCTGTCTCTAGATGCCACCCAGAAACTCTGATAGCTGTCCTAATGGCCCGGGTTCTCAGAATCCTCTCTTGATAGAAATGCTGACAGAAACTAGAGGGACTAAGAATGATCACCCTTTTCTCCAATCGAGTGAATAAGTGTTCGACAATGTATGTATTCTCTTTTAAATAAAAATGAAAAATGATATCAACACAGAAAGTATACACGCGATGTGTGCAACTAGTTAAAATCAAAACAAAAGTAAAATGTATTACTGCCGACTTTATCTGTATATCACGAAAAAGAACACACGTCAGCACATGATGAATGAGAAAAAAGAAGAAACAATATATTATATTGTTTATATAACTAACTAGAAAAAGAAGGATCTACTGTCGACTATGTCTACTGCTAAACTAGGAGAGAGTGGATCTTGACACCTCCCCCCGAACAGACGATGTGTCTATCCATCGAAAAAACCGAACTGTCATTGGGTAAATCTTGTACAATAGCGTCGTATGGGATGACGTTGACACCGACTGTTGATTCGGATAAACCATTGAATAATAAATCGAGTTTTGGTCCTCTGTGTCGGGTGTCTTCTTTTAGTGTTGATGATTGATTGATACCTGTTTCTCTTTCTCTCGTACTCATTGTCAAGTTGTTGCGAAATAGATCATCAACAGAGAAACGATAGGATTCTGCAACAGTGAAACCTACGACTGGATTGAAACCATACACTAACAATGTTGAATATGGTAGCATTTGACGTGTCATCATGATTTCTAATGTTGAATTGAAAACACATCGAAGTGGTTTTGATGAATCTTCTTGTTCTGGTTGAATTGAACGTGGTGCCATTGTACAATATTTTGTGGGTTCAATGTTAAATGTGCCAGCTGATATAATTTTTCCATTTGTGAAGACAACATAGGTCAATGGAAAGGTTTCATAACGTTTCATGGATTTCATTGGTAATAATTGAACGTAGAAATAGGCTGGTTTTCCAGCTAGTGGCGCCATTGTTGTGACGGGTTCGATTGTTGACGATGAACGATGATTTAAACCAGTTTTATCAGCAACGATCTCAAGTGATAATTTTGCACCAGTTTCACGACCTGCTGGAAGTGGCATCAATGGTACACGTTGTGTTCGGTATCCACGGTGTTTTCCATCTTCTCCCATTGGTGTGTTACGTCGCGCGTCTCCATGTAAATATGTAGGTGTTTCCGGTGGTCGTGTATAAAATTTAGACGATGACTCAGGAATATAGACGTAATGATGCCGAAGTGATCGATTTCTAATCATCCTAAAACATGAACACAAAAAGAAGCGTGATAAATGAATGACTCTGAAGAGACTTGACACCCAGTGCGAAGACGAAGTCGCAGAGCACTCGTCTTTGACTCTGAGAGTAAATGTAATCAAAAAGTTCCATCTTTCGTGCTGGACTCAGAAGAACGGTTCAAGATCTGCTTCTATAACTCAAAAACCAAACCCAGTGGTGCCCTGAGTTTAGTCGAGAATCATTCACGACGATGCTTTGAACTTAAAATATCTGTGGGCTTTTCACGTCGGCCGGCAAATAAAATCAAGTACAAAAGCATCAAAATAACCATGCAGACAAACCAAAGCGATGGCAGTGAACAAAGACGAAAGAGGGTTTTTGAAGACTAGATTAAACTCCTAAGATGGATCTCATGTCATTGACATGAACCCTATATTCTTCATCGGAGTCTTGATCTTTGACTCAGTACGTAGGATGATGTTTCTTGCAGACGATTTTTGGTGTTTTGTTGTATCTTGCTTCTAATTTTGGACGGAGACCTGGTATCTTG